CCTAGAGAAAGTGGAAATCACTATTTAGAGCATTAGTTGATTTTGCAAAGATAACTGATAGTGAGGAAACACACAGTGTTCAGCATTTTCCTTTTCCATAAGCAGATCTAGTTGTTTATTATTTCTAAAAACCTTAAAAAACATCAAAACCAAGAGCCAAATCCTCTAGGAGCTCATCTGTTGTAGTAAACTGAGCTGTTACAGGCAACAGAGGATATTCCCTATGAAATGAGAATGTCTTGCATTTCTTCTCAAACAGTTAAGAACCATGCACCATTACTGCATAGATGATTCATCTCAGGAAATACTGTGTTTTTTTGGCAGCGAACTTAAAATATCACACTTAAACATCGCAAAGAAATTATTTCTTTGAAAAGAATTCAAGCACAAAGCCCCTCAGCCATGCCCTTCACTCAAAAAAGTTACCCATTTCACTCAGAAATAAGGATGAAGTATTTAGCCGGAGTATGCTGGCACATGTTAGCTGCTGGAATTTAATAGAAAATATAAAAATTGAGAAAATACGTAATACTAAAATTTGTGAAGTAGTTCTTCTATAAGACCTGAAATAATGTTACTAGGATGAAATAAAATGAAAATCTTAGCATGAGGCTGACTGTACGCCTTATTCTTCCTTGCCAGTTAAAAGCTGCATGTTACCAGTCCTTACATTGTTCATGCAACCACTTTAAATGGATTCAAATTGTGTTGTAGATTATGAATATTTATGTTTAGCATGCTTAGCTTTGCCACCAGCCTGTGCAATTTGCACTGAAGTTGGGGAGAACACAAGTACTCCAAAAGGATGGAGCAAGTTACACCTCAGTATTCTTACTCTCACAATGGTCAGTGACCCTACTGAGGATGAAGGCACTGCACTCTGAATTGGGCTTGGCAGTATATTCAAAATAACCTGGTTTGGCCTCTAGTATGTCAGTATAGTGCTCATAATTTGGTTTTGCCTTGCCAAGCAAGCTGTCATCCAAAACGGTTCTCATTTGGCAACTTTATAGAGTTTTGGAAATGGGCAAACAAATTTTCAGCCCTTGCAGACTGGTTCTGTTCCTTAGAACTCAAAGGTACTATGGTGATTTACATCAGTCCCAAAACTGCCCTTAGGGTATGGTTGCAAACTAGCTCAGAGTTTCTGCTGAGTGAGTAGTAAATATGGACAGAAAAAAATACGCAAGGCTATTTGGTGTATTAAGCATGGTAAGCCTTCCCAAAATGAGCATTGACCTGTATGCTCCATTTGGAGAATTGCCAGGATTCCAGTTATATTCAACATACGAGCTGATTTTGAAAGTGCCGTTCATCATTTTGCAAGTGCAGTTCCATGAAAAATTAGGCTGCAGTTCCTGCAAAATCAGGTATTCAAATATTAGTGGGAAAGGCAACCTATGCAACAACAGTCTTCCATTTTATGAATCCATTACAATTTAGTCTTTATTCATCTAGTTTTATGATATATAGTTTTCAGATATCTTGTTTCAAGCGATGTACTAACTGAATGAGCAGTTATTAACATCTTTTTTCAGTGTTTCCTTTGTGCCTCATGTACTACATGCAATAAAAATGCACACAGGAGTACAGATATAGTTCCTGATAGTCATTTCCCTAATGATTTCATAGATCACCACCTCTAGAACTTGTATCTATTAGTTTTTCTTTTCCATAAAAGACAGGCTTACTAGCAAAAACATTTAAGTTTTTGCTTAGGGCTTTTACATGCTTACATAAGCATTTTTACATGCTTAGGGCTCATTAAAAAATAGTTCATCATGGTTCCTAACTTTTCACTGACAATCAGTTAGATACTCCAGTAGGACCTAAAAATGTAGAAGACTTTATATGTCTTGATACCAAGCTTTTATTCATAAAATCATGGAATGTTTTGGGTTGGAAGGGACCTTTAAGATCACCTAGTTCCAACACCCCTACTGTAGGCAGGTACACCTTCTTCTAGACCAGGTTGCTCAAAGCCCCATCCAGCCTGGCCTTGAATGCTTCCAGGGAGGGGGCATCCACGATCTCACTGGGCAACTTGTTCCAGTGCCTCAATAGAAGTCTAATCAGTTAATTTATTTTCACAATATACCTGTAGCTAAGATCATCTTTCTACCTCTGTTTTACACACAGTGAAGCAAGGAGATGACCTTATAATCAAAAGTGCTAGGTAGAGATATAACACTTTGAGTCTCATCTCAACGCTTCTTAAGATCAGTCTTTCCTAAGTTTAATATTTAGAAGTTCATTATTTTCTGGGTCTCAAGCTGGTGACAATAATGTATTCATGATTTTCTAACAGTCACCACTTCACATAATATGCCTGACATCACAGTTCTTTGGCAGAGACTTGGATATGTTGCAGTTCTCATGCACAGGCGTTTACTTAGCTCTTTTCCATGTTCTTCAAATCCTATACACAATGTGAGGAAAGTTTTTAGGGGGGACATAAGTGTGAGTGATCATGTAACTAAGAACTGTAATAAGAGTCTAAATTGGCAGAGAAAACCTTAATTGTGACACTTCAATTTTTGAATACTTGACTTGGAAGTCCTGTCATTCTCTTAATATATTTTTTTGGGAATGCAAGCATTTAAACCCATTGTATATATAAATTTTCATGAAGGGTGAATTCTCCCCTTCTGCTGCCTTCATATTTCTTCCTTTAATGAGTCATTAGAAGGTTCAGCTCTCTGGATTCATAGCACATCTTCTACAGTTTGGCTTATGAGTAGATGTCTTGTTGGCAGAAGACAGCACCTGCCAGCTTGGCAGAGGGTTAGAGAGGAGGGGAATAAGGAACTGAGAGGTGAGTAGAAATTAGTGCATTTCACATAAATTGACTGCATAGACAATCTTAGGTTCACAAGTAACAAATGCAAATTCTCTGGAGAAGCGTGTTCCAAGATTTACCTCTTGAAACATTTGCCTTTTATTTTTAATCCTCCTCATGTCCTTTATCCCTTTCCTATCTACTCTTCTTGTCTTATCTGCTTTACAGGACTTCTGCATGCTCATGGCTTCTGAACTACTGCATCCTTAGTTGCTTCATTAGTTACAATATTATGCTCCACTGGCAGAATCCTCCTTTCCTGATTTTGCCCTTCCTTCCCTGTGCATTTCCTACCTTCCTTTTCCCCTTAATTCCTTCTTTGGCTGTATCACGACATTAGTCCTCTACACTTTGGATCTTGATTTTAACACTTCTATCCTTTCTTCACCCACCTCCCCTCATCAATTGAGTACAACTTCTCCTTTTATTCTGCTTCTCTCCATTTGATTTCCATTTGTTTCTCCCTGCTGCCCACAGGCAGCCTCCCATCTCCTAGCTCTGGGACACAGCCACAATCAGCAGCACAGAGCAGATGTTGGTGGGGTTGTCCTCCTCAGATACTGTACCAATGGGTGGGTGAGATCAGAGAAATGAGAACAAGTTCGGTATGTGGGAGTTGAAAACCACATTTGATCTATGAAAGGGTGGGGATAATCAATGCATATTGATTCACCTGGGAATTTAGTGGCAAACTCTGAACAGGTATCCAGGGAGAGCAAGAGTGAACAGAAATGTTAATTACTCTGCTAATTATGTGTAGATTTTCCTAGGAGATGGAAAAAAAAAAAAACAAAAAAACAAAAAAAAACATATACCTTGGCACAGAACCACTACCCTGTCAAATTTTGAGTCCCTGTTTCAAGTTGTAGTGACACTAAAATATTCTCAAAAAAGAGTATGGTAGATTTTGTTCTTATTACTTAAATATGAGCAAAATATTTTTCCTTTAATGAGTTTTGTGAAACAGCTGATTCATCCTAACCGAAAGTTCCCCAAAATTCTGCTTGAGGTGGGCACCAGGCGTGGAAAATTTTTCTCTTCTACAGTTATTTTGACTAATGTGAAAGCAACAGAATGTGAAATATTCCTGTTGGATGTGGTGGTGGTTTCACCCTGGTGGCAGCTAGTTTCCACCACACCATTCTCTCATTTCTCCTCCTCAAAGGAAGATGGGGACAACATACAATGGAAAAGAGCTCAAGGGTTCAGATAAGGGAGATCACTCCCTATTTACCATCATGGATACAGCAGACTCAGTGTAAGGAGATGAATATAATTTCTTGCCTGTTGCTGACAGACTAGAGCAGTGAGTACTAAAAACCGACTGAAAATATCTTCCATCTCCATCTATCCTCTTCCTCCCCCAGTACAGGGGAACAGGGAACGGGGGCTGCCATCAGCTCACGATGCTTCATCTTCGCCTCTCCTCCATGGTCACTCGCCTCTGCTCACCGTGGGTCCTCCCACAGATGCCATCCTGCCCAAACTGATCCCATGCGGGATTCCCATGGACTGCAGCTCTCCCAGCTCTGCTTGCGGAGGCTATCACTGCAGCCCAATTCTACCAAAACTTTGCCACATAAACCCAATGCAGGCATCTTGAATATCTTTAAAAACAGGCTGATGCTACCTGTACTACGCATTACTGAACTAGGAGTTCAGGTTTTTTAAAGACATTTAAAGCTGAGTATTCAAAATTTCATTCTCTGATTGGGAAGAAACACGTGTTGCAACTACACCTTGCTAGACAAGAAAATATTTTTTTATAAAGGGTTTGTTGTTGTTGTTGTTGTTTGGTTGGTTGGTTTTTATTCTGCATCCATTGTTTTCTGTCTGGGTTGATTTGGAAATACCTGGGGGATATCATTGCCCAGCCATGTTCCACAGAAGAACATTCCTGATTTTAAATTGTCAGAAGGTGCATTCCTTGGTTCAAGACTGAAGACTGATCGCATTTTATGAAAGAAAAAACAAAAAACAAAAAACCTGTAATACAAATATTTACAAATAAGTGCTGAATTTCATGTTTACAAAAAAAAAAAAAAAAAAAACACTAAGCTTACAACAGCTAGATTTTGTAACTAAGCATAAGAAACTCTAATAATTAATTAAGAATTAAGAATTGACTGAGAAAACATGCATAAGAAATTAGGCAGGGTATAAATCTTAAAAGTTAACCTGCTGTACCTCTGTATTCTTCCTTTGACAGTGATTAGTGCACAGCTAACAGCACGTACAACCTGTGACAAGGAGCACTGGGAGCCAGCTAAGAGCCAGCGACAATGTCTTTCAACTGCTGGACACTTCATACTCGACTTGGAGCCTGTAAGGTGGACTGCAGAGCACTGGCATGCCTCTTGGTCTTTGCAGTGAGTGTCAGTGGCAGTGCCCCAGGGATGTGTCCGACAGCCTGCATTTGTGCCAGCGATATCGTAAGCTGCACCAATAAGAACCTCTCTCGGGTGCCAGGAAATCTCTATAGAAGTATGAAAAGGCTGGATCTGAGTTATAACAGAATTGGATTCTTAGAGCCTGAATGGGTCCCAGTGCTGTTTGAGAAGCTGAACACTTTAATAATCAATCATAACAGCATTAGCAGCATTATCACTGGGAGCTTTTCCACAACCCCAAACCTGAAGTACCTAGACTTGTCGTCCAACAGCCTGAAGACGCTGGGCAGCCCTGTATTTCAGGAGCTGGGGGCCCTGGAAGTTCTTCTGCTTTACAACAATCAGATAATGCATATAGAATCTTCAGCCTTTGGAGGACTGTACAAATTACAGAAACTGTATTTAAGCTATAACTTGCTCTTGCATTTCCCACTGGACCTGTTTGTTGGAAAACACAAGCTGACAGAACTCATATTGCTGGACATTTCCTTTAATCGCATCCAGTCGATGCCTATTCAGCGCCTGAGTTCAGTACCAGCCAAACATCTTAGCGGAGTTTATCTTCACGGCAACCCATTTTATTGTGACTGCACACTGTACTCTATGCTCATCTTCTGGTATCAAAGGCACTTCAGCTCTGTGGTGGACTTCAAAAGTGAGTACACCTGTTTATTGCGATCCGATCCAAGAGGCTACAACAAACAGCCTTTACTGCATGACAACTTTCTGAACTGCTCTGAAAGCACCATCAACAGCTCTTTTCAGGCCTTTGGATTTATTCATGATGCCCAGGTCGGTGACAGGCTGATCGTTCACTGTGACAGCAGAATCAGTGATGCAGGCACACACTTCGTTTGGGTTAGTCCGGAGAATAAATTGCTGGAGCCAGACATGGAGACCGACAAATTTAGGGTGTTTCATAATGGGAGCCTGGAGATAACAGATGCCCAGCTAGAGGACTCTGGGCTGTACTCCTGCACTGCAATAAATAAGAAAAGACTATTAAATGAAACCATAGAGGTTAGAATAAATGTCAGCAATTTCACAGTTAACAGGCCTCATGCTCATGAAGCATTTAATACAGCTTTTACCACCCTTGCTGCCTGCGTAGCCAGTATTGTTTTAGTACTGCTTTATCTCTACCTGACCCCCTGCCCGTGTCAATGCAAGACAAAGAGGAAGAAGAGGAAGCTGAACCAAAGCAGTGCCCACACATCCATACTGAACTCTACACCGTCCCAAGAGCTGCCTGCTGAGGAGAAGAAGGCCAGCACTGGCAAACGAGTGGTTTTCCTGGAACCCGTACATGAACCAAAACAGAGTCAGAACGGGAAAGTAAAACTGTTTCCTAATGACAATGTCATTGCTGAGAGTATCTTAAAAACTACTCGAACAAAATCCGACTCTGATTCTGTCAATTCTGTGTTCTCAGATACACCTTTCATGCCATCAACTTAGTTTGCTGCCTGTATTTGTATTGTGCCGTTACATTTCTGAATACCTCCTTTGCTTGTAGCAACCATCAGGAAAAAGAAATAAAGAGAAAAAATGTTTTAAAAAAAAGCATCTATTGTCAGTTCTTGAGCTTCAACTTTTCTATTTGTGAGTACAAGTGGCACCTTTCAGAAAAGCCAACAAAATGACATTGACGTGAGTATTTTCAGTGCAATCCTAGGCTTGCCTATTAATCTCTGGGACTCACGCAGCCATCTCTCATGTACATTTAGTGCTGCTGCTGGTGCATACAACCTCTGAGCAGAGGCTGACCCCATTCAAGGCTCGCAATTGTTCTGAGCATCCTCCTCATCTGCAGGAACCACATGAGCAAACTTAGGTGGCTATGGAGGAAAGTGTGCAGCTTTCCTAAAGTTTCTGTTACAGGCCCACTTGAAAATCATGGAGGAAATGTGTTTTCCAAGGCTGATCTGAACAAAAAGACTAGACTTGCTCTCAGGATGCCTAGCAGTACAGGGTAAATGTTTATGGCCGTCACCATGTTTGCCAATAACTGTGTGAAACCCTTAAGGGGAGGGGATGTTGTATTTTACTTACATCTTAATCAAGGAATTACTCATGAAAACTGCTTATATTGGTTTTTAAATATTGACATGAAAAAACTGGTAAAAGTTAACTTGCTACATTTGAAGTTGTATTAATAGAGGAATAACAGTTGTCAGTCATTAGGACTCAAGCTAATCATCAGTAACTCTTTAAGCTGTGATAACGTGATTGCTTGTTATCAGTTGTCCTACCCTGCCCTGCTCACAGTATGCATGGTGTCACATATGGTGAACAAGCTTGCCACTGTCACCAAGGCTCCTGCTTCACCTTAGGGGTGGGTCACTGCCACTTAGAGATAATTTCACAATGTGAGGGTAAAATCTAATTTTATCCTTTCATTGCACAGCTTTCCAGCAATTTCACAAAATTTGCTTCCCTTATTATTTAATTATTTTACTGAAGGAGGAAATGCACTCTTTTGATAAATTTCTTTATGTTACAGAATAATTTTCTCACAATGAATTCAGAAAGTGCAGTTTTTCTCTAGACTTGGCCCTGTCTTACATGTACTGCTTCTCTCCTTGCCCAGATGCATCATTGCCAAAATTTATGAACCCAGTAAGATTATCCTGGGTTGATCATGTAGCATCAGTTACATGAAGTTTTATGTTATTGTAAAGAATATACTGTTATAATTGTAATTTCCATTTTTTGTTTAAAGTTTGCTTACCTTGGGACTGGGCTGGACTTTGCCTGTTTTTCTCGCATTGAATGCTGCCAACTTCAAAGGAGTTTTACAAAGAATTACAGCTTGCTAAAAAAAATTGGAGTGTATCTGACTCAATGTGACTTTGAGGAATGTACTGAAGTGGAAAAGGATGAACAAAATCAGTCAAAGGACCATATGACATGGCGACTGTAATTTATTCTTCTGAGACTTACTGTAATATTCACTTGCATTTTTTGTGATTTCTTTTGAGAGGCATGTCATCATGCTCAAGCTTACATTCATCTGAGCCAAAGCTATCAACAACTGATTTGTTATGGAGAAGTCCTGTGTAGCTAATTGTCTGAAAGCAAGCAGTCTGGAAAACAGATTAGATCAGGAAATGTTATTGCTGTGATGTGCACAAAGTATGTGGAAGTAGAGAACTGCAGGAGATTTTGATTCAGCTATTCAGGGAAATGTAAGATGGAAATTTTTTTCCCAGGAGCAGAATAATGTGTATTTAGAAGAGAAAGATCACCATGGTTTGGGTCTTTAACTTATACATTTATCTATGTAAATTTAAAACAGCTTCTGCCATTAAGTAGTTTGTTTTGTTTTTTTTTTAATCCGTATATGGGCATTAACAAAATCAGAAAGTTTACATGTAAGGTCTGATAGGAAAAGATTGATTGTCTTCACTGAAATCAGAGATATAGTTTGGTCATCTGTTAATGAGGGAAAGTCCTAACTTTTAAGACCCTGTCTCCTTCTCAAGATTCTTTATTGTGAAGACTTTAAATAAGCTGCATGATCTGCTGCTGTGCTCTCCAATTTGTGCAAAAAGGGGACCATGGGACTGGGGTGAAACTATGAGGAGACAGAGCAGGAAACTGAGAGGCAAATATTCCTAGGGAAAGCTGAGCATATCAGTTACAGCTCTGGGCAGATGTTATGATCTGTTGTCATACATAACATTAATTGACCCGGATTTCTGTGTTTACAAGAGCTCTGATGGTCAATTCCAAGTTGGCCTGGAAAAGCAAGCAGCCTGGTGCCTGTGTGGCTGCCTGCCAGCTCTGCTTCTCTCTTCTGTAGCTGGGCTGGGCATATGACCCCTCCCCTATTCACGTGGCAGTGACACTGCCTTGAACTAACTCAGCTTTTAAAAACTCCAGATAATCGTAAAAATAAAATAAATTATTATTATTATTTTAAAGGAGAGATTCCAAGAGTATTAGGCTTTGTGGGATCAGAACAATGCTGCCAGACAACTAGAGCAGCTGAGTGTTGATCTAGGCAGTGGGTATTTGCTCTCATCATTAATTGGCTGTGTTTCAGTGACTGCTTCAAATTGCTCAGAGTTGCAATTGTGAATATGAGCAAGGTGGTAAAACGGAAGCCTTTGGAGGAGCTGTCCTACCACCTTGCCATCCCCATTAGTCCTTGTCTTGGTTTTCATGTTTTGTTCCAGCAAACACCAAAGAGCTGAATGATATTTTTAATGCAGGGTGAGATCACTTCTGCAAGGTGTTGAGTACTCCTCCTGACCTCAATAAGGCTAAGTATCTGATGGTGACCTCACAAAATGTAATGAATGACTGCCCCTCAACTGTATGTAACAGTTACCAATGGAGCTGGAAGTTGAGGGAGTCCCAGAGTGCTTTCCTGACACCAGCCCTTCCTCTGTTGTTGGTTATGACAGCCAGCACCATGTCCTTTCAGCCCAGATGTCCACTGGCTTATTGGGTAAACAGTGCTCTGTGCTATCATCTCATTAGTGCTTTTTTTAAAAAATAGATTTCTGAGGACTGCTAATGATGGTGCCAAAATGACTGGTTATAGCTCATTTATCTGAACAAGCAAAATCTTAGGCCAAATTGTAATTAAAGCATAAATTTTCATTTGGGATAGCACAAGTTTATTCCTATTATAGTAAATCAAACTTCTCCAAGGTGCTTTTTATCTTGACTGTAGCATGCGTATTCCTAATAACCTCTGCTATCTTTGAATTGATGGGGAATAAACTTGATCTTGCAGGAAGCAGAGCTGAAGTGTGGCCATTATGGCCTTCTCTAAAGTAATTCAGAAGTGACTATTCTCTTTGGATAACCAGCAGCCATCCCTCCCAGCACACTTCTCTTTTTAGTGAGATCAGAGGCATTAAAGGCTGATCTTTCGCCATTTGGCTATGGCAGATGCAGGGACCATTTCCAACCTGGTCCTTAATTGTTCTCTGTGTCAAGATTGTCTTCCTGAAGATAGCTTCTGGACCTGCCTCACAGTTGCTGGATCAATTTCATTGATATATCCAAACAGCTGTTTCCAAATGGCTTCTAAATGATAAGAATTGGCCATAGCAGCTTTTAAGAATACAGGATATGCTTTTCATTTATAGGTTCAGCAATTAAGATATTACTTTTTTTTTTTTTTTTTTTTTTAATAATGCTTGAATTATTACATATAGAGTGAAAGAAAAGAGTGCATCAGAATTACAGAACCATGTAATTGAGGGAGTTGGAAGGGACCTCAAGAAATTACTGAGTGCAACACCCTGCTAAGGCAGATACCCTACAATAGTGCATATTCAAATCATTTTTGCATGTTTCCACTATTTTCATATTTTGCCATTAGTCTGGTGGGGCTCAGATATGGATAAAAATGGAAATTTTGAGAATTAGGTGATGAGATCAAGAAATCATTTTGTTCAAAGTTCAATTCATATTTTTATAGGGGCTAATATCTGAGTTCTTACCTTCAGTGGGTACATGACAGAAATCATAAAATTAAGTGCTTATAAGTTTCCCTAAATACAGTTTGGGGTTGGTTTTGTTTTTTCGTTTTTTTTGGTTTTTTTTTTTTTTTTATTTTTTTTTTTTTGGAGAGTCTTGGTCTGAAAATGATCCATGCAAAATCAAAGTGTAAGAGTATCAGTGTTTGTTTCTGAAGAAAAGATATCCCAGCCTTGCTGAAGAGATCATGTCATAAGTCAGAGGACTGTGCCTTTCTGCCTTCCCTGATATAAATCTCTAATTTTAATATTAAACAAATGCAATGGAGAAAATCTTATTTTCATTTGTATTACTGTTTTATGCTCTCGTTTTCTTAGGTAGATCTTTTGCCCTCACAGATATATCTTCCATCCTTTTGCAGGATAACATTATCAACTGGAGTAAATACTTTCTCTTTTACTTCTCCTGATGAAGCTACATTTGGTAGGGGAGGAGAAGGTGGTCAAGAATGGTAGAGTCCGTTTGATGACACCCAGATATCAGGAAAAGTCGTTTGTTGATTGAGTTATTTTCTTTGATTAAACATGAAATTTACCAGGTATAAACATGCTTTTGTTAATTTAACTGAAATTTTCTGTTGCATTTGACTGACTTAATATGATGAGCACATGCAGCTCTTTAAGCCTTCTATTTTTTAAAGAAGTAACGTTATTCACATGATTTTTTTTGCATCAATTTAAACTGATTTTAAAACAGATAATAATGTGAGAGAACTCTGTTAACATAAAGCAAATCTGGTATACAGAGAAGCTGTCCAGCCAGCATGAATATTTCTGAGGACAGCTCAGAATCATCTCAAAGTAGCTCTTTGGCAAGCTAGAGCCAAATTGCATCATGCAGACCTTTCCTAGACAAGCAGGAAGATTTCCTAGACAAGCTTTCTTTAATCAGATTAGCTCAATCAACAAACTCAATTGCAATCCTCATTTAGCTCTACCACAGATTGCCTTCCCAGTTTGGTGCCTTTATCTGCACTTTGGAGCTATGCTTGGAGCACCACAGCTGCTGCTGTATCCATCCCTATTGGGGAGCTTAGGA